GTAAAACGACGAGAGGTCATTAATTTCCAATGGGGAGTATCAGATGTTCTTATTTCCTACTAGCATTCCTCTTGGTTAAACAGTAATCCACGGTGCTAGCAACAACTTATAACACTTTAACAACAGAATAGTGTGTATAAATGCCTGTCCACCTTTTTAGAATTTCTGGATCACAAGTATTTTTGCATAAGGATTTAAAAAATAATAATGATTATAGGGCATGGGACAAACCAGCCAGATATAAGGAGAATCACAGCATTATGGGTCATGCATTTTCTGCTCATTTTTAAAAATAGAAATTATTATTAAGAGATACATTCAACACAAGCATATAATTAGTCCCTGTCGCAAATTGTGGTTTTTGATTTTGCATACTAAGTAATACTATACATGTCTGTAGTGTGTGTCATTTATTATTTTTATGCTCTGAAATGTGCTCCTCTGTGACTCCTTTGTACCATTGATGTGGTTTTCGGCAAAGCCTGCACTGCAGCAGGATCCACACATTGGAGGGTTTGAAAGCTGCGTCTATCAGCTGATGTGTCTATGAGCTGATATTTGAGTGGTCCACTGATGGATCAGCTCATAGATGCAGCTTTCAGACATTTCGATGTCTGTGTATCTGTGTTTGTGCTCTGTGAAGAGTGGTAAATAACACATTTGGAGTCAAGTAAAACTAAGTGCTTCCATTACTTCAGAAAACACACTTCAACAGACAGCGTAATGTTAGAACAATGACATGAATATAAAATGGCAAACTGCTATTCAGAATCAAGCTGCTCACAACTACATAGTCTTCATTATAACACAGAGATTAGCATGCATCTACCTTGTGTGAAACATAAATAAACTTTCAAGTTTGTTTACAGCACAAGGAGTTTGAACCATACTAATAAAGGTTATTTCTGACATGATTTCTTTATGTAATTTGATGCATATTGGACAACGGAGATGCTGATCCAAATTCGGGGGCTATTAAAGAATGGTTAGACAGGCAACAGGGTCAAACAGATGTAAACAGGTAATCCAGAGTCGTGGTCATTAAACAGGCGGATGGTCGAAAGGCAGGCAGCAGACAGGAATAAACAATAAACATGGCAGGGGTCTAACATGGCAAGGCAAGGACAAAGCGTTCCAATGTCACAGACAGTAAAAGAAGACTAAGCCTAGGTGTGTGTGTGTGTGTGTGTGTGTGCTATATTTAAAGTTTATGTAATCAGTCCAAAACAATACTCCGGCTGTGTGTGTGTGTGTGTGTGTGTGTGTGTGTGTGTGTGTGTGTGTGTGTGTGTGTGTGTGTGTGTGTGTGTGTAATCAAAGTGAAACAGGAACCACGAAGTACGAAGTGCATGATAAAATTTGTAGTTCATTAAGTGACAGAATTTTAGTCCGCATCAAAATGCGTGTTTACTAGGGTTGGGCATCTAAGCTATAATGCCGATCCGATACGCATCTCAAAACAAAGAATACGATCCGATATATTAGCGATACATTTGTGACATATTGCAATGCAACACGATACGATTCACACCCATATCACGAAACGATGCGATATTTCAGCACTAACTAATTAGATCAAGTTTATGAGATGATGTGAAAGAGGATGCTGTGCCATTGAATGAGTTTGATTATTTATAAACCAAGCAAAACCAAGACTTTTTTTACAAACTGGCTCTTCTCTTAGAGCCAGAGTGTCAGTTTACAGTAGAGAGCCATTTTAGAACATATAGCACATATTATTTAAGTATTTTCAAGATAAACAGAATGTATAAGTGCAATAAATATTAAAAAAAAAAAAAAATATATATATATATATATATATATATATATATATATATATATATATTTGCACTTTTTCAACATAAAGGTTTAGCTTTGCACAACAAGAATTGTGATTTAACTTTTTAACTATGAAAACAAGTTTTACAAAGATATTTTGCCACTGAATATTCAAAACTTAAGGTTGTGAACTAGCAGTGTTATGCTGCTTTGAAACATCACTGTCACTGTAAACAACAGGCTAATAAAAATATAACAAACCAGCAATCTTCTTGCTGTGAGGTGGTCAAACTACCCACTGTGCCACCGTGACACCCATTTTTATCATTATTATTATTAATATTATTATTATTATTATAATTAAATAAAAATTAACAGGAGGAGGTGTTTAAAACCTTCGTTCTCCGTGACACTAGGCTGAATATCTTTGCAGATGAACAATGCAATAGCATTCGTTATTGGCGTAGAGCGCACAAAACTGTTGCGCACGGAAAAAAAAACTTGCAATGCTTTTCTCACCACTTTTGGAGCTGGTTGAAGCAGTGCGAAAGCCGGGGATGCAGGAACACTGGAAGATGCTTTCACAACAACACCGTGGCGCCGCTTCAAGTGAGATTTCAGATTTGTCGTACTGCTCGTGTATTTTATAGATGCGCGGCACATTTTGCAAATTGCATCTGTCCTGTCATGTCGTCCATCCTTAAATCCATAATGTTGCCATACTTTAGATTTAAAACTCAGTGAGGAATAAAATGTTTGTTTTGCTTCTCGCGCTTTCTGAGGGCGCTCCACTAGCTTCATCCGCACACCTGATACACTGAGTTGTAGTGTGTGTACACATCCGCAAATCCGTTGCTAAGGCTTACTTTATGTAGGTCGATTAAATTATGCGGCAAAATAGGTTGACAACACTTGTTAATAAATAAAAAATACATTCTATATTAAAAATATAAGCTGTATCTCGGAAAAATCGATGCATCTCGCAAAAACCGATGCATCTCGATTTGCTTTCAAAATTTCATTCATCCTCTGCTGCTCAACCGATGCACTCGCATCGTGCACGCGCATGACCGCGTATCGATACATATCGATGAATCTTCCCATCCCTAGTGTTTACCAACGATCTGCAGCCGCTAGCTCGCTGGTGTTCATGACACTTTATTTTACAATAATGTTCCTTTGTTTTTCATCAGCTGTATTCAAAGGACAGCTAACGTCTATAACAAGTTAATATGAAATGTAAAAATGCGACTGACAATGTGACTCTGCACATGACTGGAACGCATTGAGGTCAGAAGTGAAACATATCAGATCTGAAATTTCCACCTCCAACTGTTTCTAAACCACAAACTTATACTATTCACGCTTTACATTCACAAGTAGCTCTGCACTTTTTGCTAATCTCGCTGAAGCAACTAGCTGTCATCTGTGAAGTGATGTCAAATAATCTTACTGCCAGATGTCTGACTTCTAGTGTTTTGTAGGTAGGCATGGGATGATAACCGTGTTCAACGTATTAGCGGTTTGGAAAAGTCAAGGTTTCAAAACCGTCAACATTTTCTGCTGTAGTGCTCCTAGGGTATGAGTAAGATTTTTTAGTTATATTTTTTAAAAAGTTTTTTAGGACAACAGTATCTCCAGCAGAAAAGATATTTAAAGATGCCGTTTAAATAGTAAAAAAACAAATGAAGACAGCAGAAGTTTTTGTTTTTGAAACAAATGAAGACAGCAGAAGTCAATAATTCATTTGAATTATTTAGCCTGATATGTTTACTTTTCCAAAATATTTGAAATGTTTCCCAAATTAAAATATATTGTGTACCAAGGGGGAAAAACGTTTATTTATTTATTTTTTACCCAGACATAAAAAAAACTACAATACCGTGAAACAGTGATATTTATATCCAAGGTTATCATACCGTCAGAATCTTTTAACTGCCAATGCTTAGTTCTAGGTGTTATTTATGAAGTAGGAAAACTCCAATATGTTAACTAAAAAAAACCTATTGGTTAAGATGTTATTGTGTCTCATGCCACTTGACTTACCAAATGCATTCGAATGTCAACTTTTTTGAAAGCTCGTGGACTTGTCAAAGGCCCTATTATTATTTACAATGATAAACATGTTATTTCACATTTGATTGTTTGACTCTCTAGAAAACCATATAGCACTACTTATTTATTTTTTCTTGTCATTTATTATCATTTCTGCAGATGCACTGCATCGATAAACGTTTTTATTGTCTCAGTTGATCTAATTAAATCTTTTCAAATAGAGCAATTCAAATCATCTGGTGTAATTATATTCATATCGCAATGTTTATCATTCATTCATTTTCTTTTCCGCTTAGTTCCTTTATTAATCTGGGGTCGCCACAGCGGAATGAACCACCAACTTATCCAGCATATGTTTTACACAGCGAATACCCTTCCAGTCGCAACCCATCACTGGAAAAATTCCCATACACACTCATTCACACACACACTCGTACACTACAATCAATTTTACCATCCCTAATTTACCTGTACCATATGTCTTTGGACTTGTGGGGTAAACCCATGTGAACAACAGGAGAACATTCAAACTCCACACAGAAACGCCAACTGACCCAGCCGAGGCTCGAACCAGCAACCTTCTTGCTGTGAGGCGAAGGTGCTACCCACTACGGCACTGCGTCGCCCGCAATGTGTATATCTTAGCAAAACAAAGCATCGCAATGTCGTATTTCTCCAATATCGTTCAGCCCTAACCTAAGGTCTGCACTACACTACATAATCTAAGTACAGAATAAGAGGAAGTCCACAAGTCAAGAGTGTGCCGTTTAAGACAGGAACTTACATGCTTATCAACTATCCAGAACACTGCATGTACTGTATGGCCAACTATTAAGAACACAGTAACAAGTCTCTATCGGCTTTTCAGATAGCACTGAGGCAGAGTGATTTGCATGGGAAAGCACCACTCACCATGGTTTTCAGATATCTTCTTTCCGTGTGCATCTGTTCATTAATGCGTATCATGGCTTTGAGTTTGATGTCATGAGTTCTTTTGTTTGCCGTTGATGACCTTGTTGGCATTCACTTGCAGCAGTCATTTTGTTTACAGTCACATGATTTGCATTAAACAAAACACAATTACAATTCTGTCGAACAAGATTTGCATTCTTGTCTGCGGGGATGTTGTTGAATCTTAACCCTGTGTGTGTGTGTGTGTCTTTCAGAGCTGTGGAGTAATTGTGGGGTGCAATGGATGATGGGAAGCCTGTGTGGGCGCCCCACCCAACCGACGGGTTTCAACTGGGCATGATAGTGGACATCGGTGCAGATGCGCTGACCATTGAGCCCCTTCATCAGAGAGGAAAGGTAAGACATCAACATTTAACCAAGCAGATGGCAGCCATTGATTTTTATGCTACGTTATCAAATCTCAATGTTCATACGTAGGAAAATCTTGTTGCTAAACACCAGTGATGCTGTACGTCTCAGCTTTTCTGTTGACGTGCTGAGTTTTTCCCCACCATACGCAGGGTTAGCTTCATGGTGTGTATAATAGGCCTTCAGGTATCTGAGCAATAGGTAAAATGTGAGAACATGTGTATGTCGAATAGTGCTGTGCCGTGTAAGGGTGTCACTTGCAGGGGCTTTGAATAAGTTATAAGCTCTACCTGCTGCAGGTGTGCGGATCACGTTACTCTCAGGGTAGGTTCATTAGAGAAAAAAGCCACCTGTGTCTCAGCTACTACTTACAGTACATGCGCCCTTAGAGACAGCAGGCCATATTTCTGAACATTTTCCACAATTACCTGGTAAAGATGTTCCCTAATGGAAACTTGATGGTGTAAGGTAGTATCTTTTCTCTTAAAATGTGGCAAAGTGTATTGGGATTATCTTTAGGAACTCATTTTGACATACATTATTTATGAATCTAATAATTCATTAAACATTATCTACGTTTTATATATATTTATATATATATATATATATATATATATATATATATATATATATATATATATATATATATATATATATAATTTTTTTTTAAAATTTATTTATTTATTTAGTTTTAAATATATATGTAGTGACTTTTCTGCAAAAAACATTCAACATTTAACATTCTTGTTGCCTTATTACAAATGTACACAATTTCACAATCTACTCGTTAAACTAACAATAGATCCAATTTAAACACATTTAAAGGTGCTTTGATAGCATAAACTTGCCATAATATGTTTGCTAATATATTTAAGAAACATGCTTAGTAAACATTCTTGTTTATCTGAAAAACAATGATAAAGTGAAGATATTCTGCTTTAAAAATGTTTTCCGTGACAGAACGGCTGTTTTTTTTTTTGGTAATTTTAACCTGCCCAATGGCAGTTTAGCCAAATATATTTTAGCTTCCCTGGTTACCTTGGTGGAAAATCGCACACTTCATTCATTCATTCATTCATTCATTCATTCATTCATTCAGAAAGGCTCTGAAAGCATGCGCTCGTGACCGAAATGCCACATCCGGTGGACAGACACAGATTTCCACATGAGGTTATAAATTAGCAATAATATAAATATTACTAATGTAGACATTAGATGAGCAGGTTACATTGTAATCCCGTTTCCTAAAAACACGCTATGTGATGAGATACAGTTAAAGTCAGAATTATTAGTCCCCCTAAATAATTAGCGCCCCTGTTTATTTTTTTTTTCTCCCAATTTCTGTTTAATGGAGGGAAGAATGTTTTAGCACATTTCTAAGCATAATAGTTTTAAAAACTTATTTCTAATAACTGATTTATTTTATCTTTGCCTTGATGACAGTAAATAATATTTTACTTGATATTTTTCAAGACACTTCTACACAGCTTAAAGTGACATTTAAAGGCTTAACTAGGTTAATAAGGTGAACTAGGCATGTTAGGGTAATTAGGCAATTTATTATATAATGATGGTTTGTTCTGAACACTATCGAAAAAAAAAATAGCTTAAAGGGGCTAATAATTTTGTCCCAAAAATAGTTTTTAAAAAATTAAAAACTGCTTTTATTTTAGCCGAAATAAAACAAATAAGACTTTTTCTAGAAGAAAAAATATAATCAGACATACTGTGAAAATGTCCTTGCTCTGTCAAACATCATTTGGGAAATGTTTAAGAAAGAAAAAAAAAAAAAAATCAAAAGGAGGGTAATAATTCTGACTTCAACTGTACTCAGTGATATGCAATTTGGCTGTTTTCACCAGACGAAATAAGACCAAGTCCATTCAGAAGCAATAGTGCCTTCTCTTACAAAATGGTAGGGTTTATAATCTATTTAATACATATTAACCCTCTTTAACGTTATTAAAAGTACATGCTGAATCCCTCACATGCGTTCTAAAGTTCAATCTCACACGGTTTTATTTTCAAGATCTAAGGTGAACTATCTGCTGCTGCTTTCAGTAGTATGGCAATAATTGTCATGTAAAATGGCATCAAAACTCACATTATTAGTGTTTAACACTGAATAAAGCACATGAGGTGGACCTGAGGGGTTCATTGTCAGTTTTCTGTTGTTCAGCTGCAAGAAATAAAAGCCGTTTCTAGTAGACCAATTCAAGGTGTTGGTAAGGACAAAAACTCCTTTTAATATGAAAAATATTCCTTCTATCGGGTGCCGTTGCTTTAATTTACAACACGACACATTTAAATCACTCGCTCTTGTCCTCAATCTGGCAACCTGTGCTTGCGTTTGTTTACTCTAGGACTAGGAGTGTAGTAACTAATTCAACCACTGAATACTGCACCTTTAAGTATGCAGAAGGACTTTTAGCTTTTCAGTAACCTGGCTTAAACACTTTCGGTGAACTGTATGCCAGTACAAAATTGGTGCACTTAAGGTCTGTTGTCTTTAAAAATCAATAATCTTCACAGCCTGATTGATATAGAATATAAAGTAGGTCTCAGATTGTTCAAAAAGCACTGCATTACATTAAGTTTTTCCACGCCATGGCTTTAAAATATGACAATTTATTTTAACTTAGTATTTTCAATGGAGTTTCTGCGCAAATCCTGACGAGCATGTTCGTGTAAGCGGCTATTTAACTGAGTATATATTAATTATATTACAACAACGATGTTGTAAAAGGAATCGTATAAAATTAAAAAGACACATTAACCATTCTCCGGAAGTTTATTGGCATGGGAAAAAACACAAGCTATGCATATACCCTATTAATGCAAGTGTTGTAGCCAATCAAACACTGCGTGCATATTAATAATCCCATGTGAAAACTCAAAGTTTATTTATTGATCAGATCAACCTGTTTTCACTGGGATTTGACACTCACAGGATTTACGGGAAACTGGTGTTTGAGATGTTTCCATGTACTGAACTCTTGTAATTCAGGTGTGCCTAGGTATATATTTTAACTCTATGGCAACTTTAATTAAATATTTCTTAAAGGGAGTGTTTACCCAATCAATATTTGCTGTTTATTTACTCACCCTCAGGCCATCCAAGATTTAGGTGACGTTTTTCTTGAGAGAAATCATTAAAGAAGCTTTTTTGTCTCTTTTACTGTGGTGATTTCATAAAATGTCAATGGCTACAGGTTCCAGCATCCAGGATAAACACAAGTACCATTTTTATTAGCAATACAATCTGTACTTCCTTTTGACTTTGTTGTGAAAAATGCCTGGGCATGTGTGATGTGACAAAGCATTTGCTTTTGCTGTGGATTAGAGGTAAAAATGTGAGTAATGTTCAGTTTCTTGCACAGACCGAGTACTTCACTTGTTAAGACCTCAGTGTATTGTTGGGAGCCACCGTTAATGATTTAGTTTTGCCTTTATTTAACTCTTGAAATGCTATTGTTTTATGAATCAGCAAGGACCGTTTGAACAACAAAAACATGTTCCTTCATTTTAAATAGTCCTCTTTTGGGCGGAAGGTCTAAGGATTAGAAAGATACATTAAAGATACATTAAATGAAAACATATTTTTATATTATTAAAGGGCCATGAAACCCCCTCATTTCAGCAGGGTGTTTTCACACCTCTACTTTGGAAAAAGTCAGAAAAGTGGGCGTGTCCAGCTTTGTTTAGGGGGGAGTGTCGGAGGAAGAAAAGAGGCTTGGTGTGGGAGTGTCTATTTGGGCGCGCTGAATTTCAGAGTCAAAACACACACCCACAGCGGACAATGTGGCTGTGTTTACATGGACATCTGTAGTCGAATTATTTGCCAAATTATTAAATGGTGGACTTTAACTGCATTTTGGCTCTTTCATTCAGGGAATTCATTCATGTCCCTCCCGACAAACGAGATATTTGATTCGAGGAACTGCTCTAAGCGTGTATTTTCATGCAATGTTTGATACCGCACGGCAAATGAGAGAAAAAAAACGTAGCATTTCCCTGAAACTTAGATGCAGACGGCAGGTAGAAAGCCGCGTGTGTTATTCCGGTCACAAAATCCTACACAAGGTTATAGTTTGGATGCAGTGCTAGGTTGTTTACACTCAGTGCGATAGTTTTTTTCGATACGAATAAAATACGAACTGAATAAACAAAGAGCGCTGGTCGCTCACTTACCAAATTTGTAGAGACAGAACAATCACCAGCAACTAGAGCCGCGTCTTTATTTAGAGGAGACTACAAGCGAATCCGGATCTCAGCATTTGCAGATGAGAACAGCACTCAGGTAAACAAATGTTCCTCCTTCGACACGTAAGTTATTGTTGTCACGCGTCGCGTACACTGTTAATCCACACGTGACGCCAGCTGAGCTCTCACAGAGAGAAAATGAAAACAAAACTTAACGGCAGCAAACTATAAAAGCAACACTTCACGCTTGTTTTGCCAACACAACGTGGCGTCTAAACACTCTGACAGTAATGTATATTAATGAAGTTGCACAATAAAGCGCGCTGATTGGTTTGAACCAAGCCTTACTCATGCATTAATGCAGCAGGCTGTAAGACGTAATAAGACTCACTCTGGCACAGACGTCCAGTCTGCACGCTGGAATACAAGCTATTATGTCATGGCCGTGACGCAGCTTCAAAAATTCGTTTCAAACCGAAAGTACGAATTTGCTTAAAATAACGCAAAAACAACCAATTTACACTTTTTAGTAAAATATAGGTGTCCTAATGATGTTTTAAGCAGTGTGGGACACATATACGTCTGTTAACAGCTCAAAAAATGTATTTTGGTGTTTCGTGACCCTTTAAAAAGTTCTCAGTACATCACAGCAAGTCATTTTGTCCTATTGAATTTTTATTACTAATTAGATACGGAAAGAGATTTTTATTGCAATTAAAAAAAATCAAGCCTCGGCTAGGTCAGTTGTAATTTCTGTGTGGAGTTTGCATGTTCTCCCTGCGTTAGCATGGTTTTCCTCATGGGTGCTGCAGTTTCCCTCAAAAGACATGCACTATAGGTGAATTGGGTTAGCTAAAACTGTCTGTAGTGTATGAATGTTTCCCAGTGATGGGTTGCAGCTGGAAGGGCATCCACTGCGTAAATCATATGCTAGATAAGTTGGCGGTTCGTTCTGCTGTGGTGACCCCTGATTATTATAAAGGGACTAGGCCGAAAAGTAAAAGAATGAATGAATAAACATCTGTTGAACCGCATCCCAATCATCACAAATACTGCAGAAAACCTACTGGAATCTGCATCTGACCCAAGATTCTTACAGAAATCAGTCAAGTTTGGTGAAAGAAAAATGGTTTAGGGTTACATTCAGTATGGGGGCATGTGAGAGATCTGCAAAGTGGATGGCATCTTTAATATAATAGATAATAATGGATAAATATCTATAAATGCAGTGTTCCATAAACAAACAGTAGCAAACTGACATAAATAATAGAAATGGAGGCATGTTCAGAAAAGAAAAATAACACGAAATGATATGAAGAGGACAGGCTATGATGTGAAGAGGAGCTCTCTTGACCTTGAAGTGCAGTAAGTTTTCAAACAGTATTTGATCTAGCTTTAGTTAAAATATAATGTTGTTCAGGCTAAATGATTACAGTGTGTACAGAAATAAATAATTAATTCTTCGTAATAAATTTTGTTTGATTTCAGCTCTACTTTTTATTTCATTAAACTTCAGGTTTTATTGGAAATAAATTTTTAAAAACCGTATGACACCAACACGAATTCCTCATTTAAAAGAGAAATTGGCCAACTGTTCAACTGTAGTAAACCACATAAGAAAAGTTCCCACTCAAAAATACCAAGTTTGTGTGTGTGTGTTTTTTTAGGTCACCGATGTAGATGGTATCAGTGTTATTGGGGCAAGTAATAACTTTCCAGAGTGATCCTGATGTAAATGGCTTGCATAAAAGTGAGAGGAGTGGAATAATGTCATGCAGGAAAGTCAGCAGGGATGAGATGGGTTTTCTGGGAAAGGTCAGACTGTCTCATCTCGCTCTGAATATCGCAGCGCGTGATGGGCAGTTTTGCTTGTCTTATAATGTGTCATGTAATGGATTTCGCAGCTTATGTTCTCACCTTTCACATTAACATGCCTTTACCGTTTCTTCTACGCATTACGGCCGCCATTAAACGCGATCAATCACGGCTGACCTAGCGCCGCTCTTCAGTGTCATTTGCAAGTCGTAATGTATGAAGACCTTGAGCGTTTATAGCTTTACACCTCGCTGAAAGTAACCAGACAGACTCGGAAATGAGAGAACAAACGGCTGCCATCGTCTGCTTGTTTTTTGTCCCATTAATCTTCGCTGTGGTTGTAAACGGTGTGTGCACTTTTTGTAATACGGATAAATAGTGAAATGGGTCAATGTAGGCAGTTATTGTTAGGCTGGGTTTTTTAGAGTGCCTGATGCTCATTTTGACTTTGCAGACGTTCCTGGCTCCCATCAGTCAAGTGTTTCCCGCTGAAGACGATGTCAACAAACATGTTGAAGACAACTGTAAGTATTTAACTTATTAGAGTTGCATCAAATAATAGAAAGTGTATTTTTAAATGCTATTAGAGAATGTTTTCATTTAGGAAATGTTTCAATGAGGAATTTTAAAATAATATTTATCAAACTAAAAGATTGTATATCACTCTTTTCAGTGCTATATTTGTGCTGTATGTTGTTTGTACAATTAATGTTTATTATGAAACCAATATGACTGCATGTTATATGTTGTATATTTAGAATAGGTTTTGCCATAATTATAGCCAATTCTGCTGATATGGCATTAAAACGTAAATAAATAAGTACAATGCATCCGGAAATTATTCATAGCGCTTCACCTTTTCAAATTTTTTTTCCACATTACAGCCTTCTTCCAAAATGGATTAAATTTAAATTTATATTTTAAATTGAAAAATTTTAATTACATTTATTTTCTCAAAATTCTATACACTATACCCCATAATGACAATGTGAAAAAAGAGGCAGGAAAAAATCACATGTACATCTGTATTCACAGCCTTTGCTCGATACTTTGTTGATGCATCTTTGGCAGCAATTACAGCCTCAAGTCTTTTTTAATATGATGCCACCAGCTTGGCACACCTTTCTTTGGGAATTTCAGCCTATTTCTCTTCGCAGTACCTCTCAAGCTCTATCAGGTTGGACGGGAAGCGAGGGTGTACAGCCATTTTCAGATCTCTCCAGAGATGTTCAATAGGATTTAGGTCTGGGCTCTGGCTGGGCCACTCAAGGACATTCACAAAAAAAAGTGGAAAAAGTGAAACGCTATGAATATTTTCCAGATGCACTGTAAATATTAAAGTTGCATCAGCTATTTGTACAATGGTCATTACTTAAGCATATGTTTGATGGCTTCCAGGTTCTCTTATGTATTTGAATGAGGCCACTCTCCTGAACAACATCCGCATCCGTTACAGCAAAGACATGATCTATGTAAGTCAAATACTTGTGTAAATGTCCTGTTTTTCATTATTGCTTTGTTTCTTTTCCTAGTGTAAAGCTACACAAGTACAGTTAGTCTAATGGAAAACTTAAACAATAGTGTTTTTCACAAGCTTACATTTCCCACATGGGAACAAATGCATTTATTTATGTTGAATTTAGACAACATCACAGACAGGCTGATTGTAAATGTGAATTACCAACTTATTACTTATAGACCTTATTACTTAACGAATTTACTTATAACTTATAATATTCAAATTTAATTAAAACTTATAACTTATAGAATTACTTAAAGACCTTTTTCATAGAATGTAAAATTACCCATTATGCTTTGCATGCATGCACAAGGAGGATGCTTCTGGTCGGCAATTTGATGCGTATAAACGGTCACATTTGGACGGCTTTGAAAGAATAGTTTTAATCTATTTTACTTTGCTTTTAATGCCTTTGGACTAATCCTGCTGTTGATCAGCGCCACCTCCTGGACTGATTATTTAAAAATGCAATCTAATAGAAATAAAAAACAACATCTGCTAGTCATTAACCCTTACCGTTGCACAGCATCTTCTGCCGTGGTCCGCAACCTGTTTTTATCACCGCGCATCGGTCAACGCTTTTAAAATCTTACCACGGGATGGGGGGTGAGGGGTTTTGTAGGTTGCTAGGTGGCGATCAACATAAATGTCACTATTATACAAGTTTTATTTGGAGAGAAAAATTACAGAACACTGCAATGTTTGGGATTTCTGTGTTTGTCTGTGACAATCAGTCTAACGAAATGTGTAAATACCATACAAGCTGAAGCTGATCGATCAGGTCTTGTCACGCAACTCGCAGTGTGCTTGTGGCATTCATTCAACTGCATGCATCTTAAGGTTGCGAGCACATCAAGGTTGCGAGCACATCAAGGTTGCGAGCACGTCAAGCCTGCACGAACGTGTCAAGTATAAAAGTATAAAATATACTATTTATTAAATTTCACATTTTTTTGTATTTTATTAACGTCCACATCCACCCCAACCCTAACACAACCGTCACAGTAATGTAAAAACAGTAGTTGTACCAAGTATTATTTGTTATCTATTATATTACCCAATAAATTTTATTTTTTAATGCCTAAATATAACGCAAATAATTAATGATTTCTTGTGCAGCCCGGTACCAATTGATCCACAGACGGGTACCGGTCCACGGCCTTGTGGTTATGGACCACTGGTTTAAAGGGAGCATTATCTTCGCAAAAGTAATAATTTTTTTGGGAATTGCATGGCTTAACGTTACATACTTATTAAGTTTGATGCAATTAGTATAGTTTGCTCTATAATGCAGTCTGAGTGCAGTATAACAGCTGACAGGTCTGGAACACTGACGCTATGCTTTAGCATCTTAACGGCAGACTCTCATGCTTGAACCGCATCTGAAAGAACTATAAAGCCACTTTTCCACTGCACACAACAAGCATTCATTCATTTCCAATGGAGAGTAGACCGGGAGCTGTGTGGAGTTCCGATTATCTCCACATGCGGAAAATTCGGATCCGAATTGAGCTGCGGATATGTTAAAAAATTTGGAACTCCTGTGACTAGACCGGCCTACCGGATGTGATGTGTTCCAGTGTTGCCCAAGTTTTTTCTGTTATTTTCTGATTCAGAAAAAAGTCTATGAAGGCACAGAGAAAAAAGGCTCTTGCTTTTGCTCTCCTTTATTTCAGACACCGCGAGAATCAGCTTCTTGCCCATGGTGCACGACAAAACTGAATATTCTGTACGACTGCCACAAGGGGGCGTATCTCGACAGTAGTGTCTGAATGTCGTGTGTAGTGGAAAGGTGGCTTAACGGCTTTAACACACCTTTCAAATATTCACCTTTCAAACACTCTGTAAGCCACTCAAAGCAGTATTGGCAACTATTTTTGGATCAAGATTAACCAGTTGTAAACGGAAGTTCTAAGCATCCTACCAGAAGATGCTGGTTGCTATGGCGCCTTCCATGCAGCAACCAAGAAAAAGGTCTATAGAGCATCATAAATAGAGGTTTTCATGGTAACGGCTGTAATCAGAGCAGTGCAAAGCTCTCAAATGTGAAATTTTATCAGCTATTATACACTGTAAACCCTAACAGTGAAAATCACTAAATGAATTAAGTTAGTTTAACTTATAATTTAAAAAAAGTTACTTTGACTTCATGAAAAAGAGCTATGGTAGCTTAAAAACGGATTATATTAAGCAGAACTCAAACCAAATGAGTTATAAAAGAATTGTTCATATTTTTTTTGTTAGTTCTAATGCTTGAAGCAATACCAAACCATTTCAGTAGCTTTATACTGTAGTTGTTTGCACTTAATTTGTTCTATTAACTGTTTTCATACCGATTTGATAACAGAACTTAAAATAATTTACTAATACACTAAATGTTTGACAATATCAATACAAATAATGTATGTGTATTTACATTACTTAAACTGTTTGAGAAAACTAATTGCCAATTTCAAAACAAAACAGTTTAAGTTAACTTATCAGGTTTTACAGTGTAGAAAAGACTAAATGAAAAGTGTTGAAACCTTTCTGAATACTTTTGTTTTTCCCAATGATTCATTTATATTAAAACACTTAGCACATTTTGATTTTGAAGTGTGCAGTGGTAATGTTTATTCAATAAAGTCAAAGCCTTTTGGAAAACCAATTTGTGTTTGATAATATATATTGAGCAGCCACAAATAATTCAATGTATGGGAAAAGCTGTAAACACTGTTCAGCCGAACCGATTTCAGGTGTATTCATGTGCTTTTTTGAGGTTAAAAGGTCTATTGCCAATAGTCCCTTTCAAACAAAGCAGTAATCTGTTTGTCTGCATGGGAAATTTGCATGACCAGCGTGAACAGGAAAAAGATCAGCCTGAGGATCTTTTGCTTCTCACTCGAAAGCCCAACTGCACAGATTCCCTTTCAAATGATTAGATTGTGCATGCAAAATAATGTTGAAAAAAAGGGATTTTTTCCCTGTACTACTTTAAAGAAACAACTCACCCAGAAATGAACATTTGTTATCAAACTTTTTCCTCACACATTTTACTTGATCATTTATAAATCACAAAGGACCACAGTTTCAGCTACTAATCTTCGTTAATGTTATACTGAAGATAAAATGTTTTACTGTATCTTAGACGGCCTAAAGTTTGATTTAATTACCAGCAAATTATCATTTTTGATTGATTATAACTATCCCTTGAAACTCAGTACACAAGGGGGCAATAGAGTTACATGTATACAAATATTTGTCCAAGATGACAATGTTATTTTCTAAACAAGCATTTGTTGATAAACTTCACATTAAATGTGAATTTAAGCAATCACATAAGTAGATAACATAAAAAGTCAAGGCAAAAATATGTAAAGTATAATAATAACAATATAATATCATAGTAATAATACATTTCTACCACTCATTGTTTTGACACACAGATAGTCTCACCCCAAGCTCACAGCAACATTGTTCGATTGGTAATATACAGTTATGATGATGATGATGATGATGATGATGATGACGACAGTAGTTCTTGGAAATACACTTCATTGAACAAATACACTCAGGTGTACCGGCCACTTTATTAGGTGCACCTGTCCAACTGCTCGTTAACGTAAATTTCTAATCAGCCAATCACATGGCAGCAAACTGCATTTATACATGTAGATTTGGTCAAGACAACCTGCTGCAGTTCAGACCGAGCATCAGAATGGGGAAGAAAGGTGATTAAGTGACTTTGAACGTGGCATGGTTGTTGGTGCCAGAGGGTCTGGTCTGAGTATTTCAGAAACTGCAGATCTACTGGGATTTTTACGCATGACTTATGCACGGGTTAACAGAGAGTGGTCTGAAGAAGAGAAAATATCCAGTGAGGGGCAGTTCTGTGGGCACAAATGCCTTGTTGATGTCAGAGGAGAAAGGCCAGGTTGGTTCGACCTGATAGAAAGGCAACAGTAACTCAACCACTTATTACAACTGAGGTATACTGAATGCACAACACATCCAACCTTGAGGCGAATGGGCTACAGCAGCAGAAGACTACACTGGGCCCCACTCCTATCAGCTAAGAATAGGAAACTGAGGCTACAATTTACACAGACTCACTAAAATTGGACAATAGAAGATTGGAAAAACGCTGCCTGGTCTGATGAGTCTCTATTTATGCTGGAACATTGAATGGTAGGGCCAGAATTTGGCATTAACAACATAAAAGCATGGATCCATTCTGCCTTGTATCAACAGTTCAGGCTGCTGGTGGTGGTGTAATGGTGTGGGGGATAATTTCTTGGCACACTTTTGATCTATTAGTTCCAATTGGACATTGTGTCAACACCACAGCCTACCTGAGTGTTGTTGCTGACCATGTCCATCCCCTTATGACCATTTTCTGATGACTACTTCCAGCAGGATCTCGCACCATGCCATAAAGCGTAAATCATCTCAGGCTGATTTCTTGAACATGACAATGTGTTCACTGAACTCAAATGCCCTCCACAGTCACCAGATCTCAACCCTATAGAGCACTTTTGGGATGTAGTGGAACGGGAGATTCACATCATGGATGTGCAGCCGACAAATCTGCAGCAACTGCATAATGCTATCATATCAATATGGAGAAAATCTCTGAGGATTTTGAAGACAAACGGGGGTCCAACCCGGTACTAGTAAAATGTACCTAATAAAGTGGCCGGTAAGTGTATTATACACATGGACATCCTCATTTTGGATGTACACTATATACTAAATAACTGCCGGTTAACTATGTTTATATACTTCTTAACTTTCATGTTTTTGAATGTAATATAATGCTATGGAACGATAGTTAAGCGATAGTTAATTGACTACAGAGTGTACCCGAACTGACTAATGACTCCATCACATTAAAACATGCACAACAAATCGATCCTCTGATTAATTAAACTCTGTTCTAATAAATCTAAATTTTAAAATGTAAACAGATTTGCCTTCTTAAATCTTAAACAAAAGCATCAGGCATGCGCATATTTAGCTTAACAGTCCACTCAGGGCCGCACAGGGCTTCCAGACTCAATGTTAAAGCTTGCAGATATCTCATTGGCAGGCATGTCTGCAGGTTGGGAGCTGATGGGCATGTTATTGTCGTGCTCCAGCAGCCCTTATTAGCCTCTCATCTGAGAGACTGCAGTCCCGCTGTCAGCGCACGCTCATCAGCCCAGCGCTCGAGCCTGTCAGGAGACTGTCCAGACCCTGCCCTAGTGTGACTGCACGTCTCAGATGACCCAGCTAATCCTGCCCAGACGCTATCAAGTTGCCCAATGCACTTAATTAGGTCCTGTGAGGTAGCGGCGCTCTCTGCGTGGCGTTGCTAAACATGAAGCTTTTGAATGGCAGTAGATAACATGTCAAAATCCATGTCAACTGTAAAACTATGAAAGACTGCAAAATCGCATGTTAATGATAATCGACTTTATAATTGTTCTTGTTATTTCAGACGTTTGTGGCTAACATCCTCATAGCTGTGAACCCGTATTTCGACATCCCTAAACTCTACTCTCCAGAGTCTATTAAGAGCTATCAGGGACGCTCTTTGGGGACTCTTCCCCCTCATGTCTATGCTATCGGTGAGTGGACATCTGAACGGCTGTCTAATAGGACACTTGAGGATTCAGTTTTAAGGATTTTACAGTGTTTGGCAGGGATTTTGACAAACGTGTCTCTCTCTCCATCTCTCTCTCAGCGGATAAAGCCTATAGAGACATGAGGGTTCTGAAGATGAGCCAGTCCATCATTGTGTCTGGTGAATCAGGAGCTGGGAAAACAGAAAACACAAAGTTTGTTCTCAGGTGGGATTACTGTCTGTCTCTTTGTGGAATGACAAATACTTAATATAACTGTAGCTTATATGTTCTACATTTATAATGGTGGTTCTGACTCTTCTAAATCATAAAGTACCATAATATGTTTGCAGATATTTAAGAAACATGTCATGTGAACTTTCTGGTTTATCCGAAAAACACTGCTGAAGTCAGATATTCTGCTTAATATAAATGTGCGTTATGTGCCAGAACGGCTGTCTTTGTTTTGGTCATTTAACCCGCTCAATGCCAGTTTAGCCAATTATATTTCAGCACCCCCTGGTTGCATTGATGTGATTTGAAAAGTAAGGCTCTCAGTAAAGTAAGGCTCTCAAAGAATGCGTCCAGTAACAGCCTCCGAAATGAGACGCATATTTAGAGTTCCACATGAGGTGGTTATTAATTAGCAAATAACATAAACATTACAAACGTAACAAAACATTAGATTAGCAGGTTACATTGTGACCTTGTGTCCTAACAGCACGCTAAGTGACAAGATAAGTGATAAGCAATTTGGCTGTTTTTACCAGACAAAACACAACAGAAATTTAAATACAGCCATCCGAAGCACAGAGTGCAGTCACTGACAAGATAAGTGATAAGCATTTTGGCTGTTTTCACCAAACAAAACACAACAGAAATTTAAATACAGCCATCAGAAGCACAGAGTGCAGTCACTGCACTCCAACAAAATGGTATGGTTTATGATCTAATTAATACACATTAAACCTCTTAAACATTATTAAATGTACATGCTGAATCACTGATATTGGTGGGCTTCCATTGAATCGCAGATCTTAAGTTCAATTTCAAACGGTTTATTTTATTTTCAAGATTTGAGGTGAAATATCTGCTGCTGCTTTCAGTAGTAGGGCAATACATGTCATGTACAATTGCATTTAAACTCTTATTATTAGCATTTAACACTGATCACCTTGGGCACACCTAATATGCTTTATTCATTGTCAGTTTTCTGTTGTTCAGCTCCAAGAAATAGAAGCTATTGCTAAAATACATGTTTCATGTGTTGGTTGGAACAAAAACTCCTTTTAAAATGTAAAATATTCCTTCTATCACGTGTCATTGCTTTTATTTAGAACACCACTTAAACCAGCCTTTGTTGGTGTCGTCAATCTGGCAACCTGCTCTTGCATGTGTTTTGAACCAGGAGTGCAATACCTAGTTGAACCACTGGGTGTCAAACTTACATACTGCTCCTTTAAAAATATAAATCAGTATTTACATTTTGTTGCTAACAATAGCAACGGTTGGGTTTAAATCATGTTGACGCACATTAATAATAGGGCTGGGCAAAGATTAATTGCGATTAATCGCATGGACAAAAAAAAGTTTGTATTGACATAATATATTTGTATGTATTATATATATATATTTATCGTGTATATGATACACACATACATAAACTATTCAAACATTTTTTTTAGTTTAATAGATATTTAAATTTATATACAATTTGTCTCATACACAAAATTATTTCATAACTTAATATAAATAAACGGGTTCTCAAGGTTATGCATGCATGTGTGTTTATATACTTAATAAATATACACAGTACACACACGAATCATGCCAAAATAAACTTGTATTGTATATTTTTAAGAAATCAATACTTTTTAAGCATAATGATGCATTTAATTGATCCAAAGTGACCATGCAGACAGTTATTATCTTACAGTTAATCTCTATCGTAAATTATTGTTTTGAACATTTTTATTAAAAATAGAGAACATTGAAAATCAGATTTTGTGAGCAATAAATTAACATTTTGTAGGGATTTCATGTGATTATGTGACATTGAAGAGCTTTACCATCACATGAATAAAATACATTTTTAAACACAGTAGAAAACATTTGTATTTATTTATTTTAATGCCATACAGTCAGAATTATTACCCCCTCCTTTGAACTTTTTTTTCACAGTATGTCTGATAATGTTTTTTCTTCTGGCGAAAGTCTTATTTGTTTTATTTTGGCAAGAATAAAAGCAGTTTTACATTTTTTTATATCCATTTTAAGGTCAAATTATTAGCTCCTTTAAGCTAGTCTACAGAACAAACCGGCATTAAACAATGACTTGCCCAAACCTGCCTAATTAACCTAACTGACCCCAAGTAGCCAATTTTTTTCTTATAGAGCTAGTCTATAATCTTCTATTTGAAGCTGCTTTAACACAGTCTACATTGTTAAAGTGCTATAGAAATAAAGATGAATTGAATTGAATTGAATCGAATAGTTCTTAAAAATCAGAGTCTCTCCTTCTGAACAACAGATATTATGTCGGAAATCCAGTTCTTCACCAATAAAGGTGATTTCCAATTGTTAAGCACTAGTCTTTTAGCCACCACCATGCTTTGCATCAATGACTCTTGCATTGCCTGAAGTAGAGCAGATGTAATTTGTGAGACGCCAAAGATGGCACGGCATCTGGTGGAAAAGGTCTGCTGTAAGCTTTGGAGCACCAGTCAGTAGAAAACATTTTAAACAATGTTACATTAAACGATAAAAAATAGAATTACAATGTTGTTTAAAATTAAAAGTATTACTATATTTACTGTATATTGATCAAATAAATACTTTATTACTTAAAATACCTTGGTTAATTGAAATACGGTTTGTATAAAATATGATCAAAAACATTTTATAGTCCTCAATAATGTTACTGTTTTGCAAATTAGTTTGGGGGTTGTTTTGGGCCAGTTTGATTATTAATGTAATCATGTTTTAATACTGTAAGTGTTTTTTTTTTATTATTATTTCAGGTATTTAACCACATCTTACGGCACAGGCCAAGATATAGATGAGAGGATTGTTGAAGGTAAGTGTCTAGCACAGTACTGCATGTTCTTTTTTTGCATCTGATGCAAAATGTTTGTTTTTACAGTACATACTGTATATTTCTCTGCTGTGTTCAGCCAACCCCTTGCTTGAAGCTTTTGGAAATGCAAAGACGGTCAGGAACAACAACAGCAGCCGCTTTGGAAAGTTTGTGGAAATTCATTTTAATGAGAAGGTGAATTTAGTTTTATAGTCTAAAGACAAGAGTGTGAGTGTACAAGATTTCACGTAGGTATTATTAACTATGTGTGTTGTGTCTTGTGAACCGTGTCCAGAATGCAGTTGTGGGCGGTTTTGTCTCTCACTATCTGCTGGAGAAGTCTCGGATTTGCATGCAGAGTCAAGAAGAGCGAAACTATCATATATTTTATAGACTGTGCGCAGGGGCGTCAGAGGACATCAGGAACATGCTCCATCTCAACTCCCCCGACAGCTTCCGGGTCAGTTTCCTGTACATTGTGTGTCAGGAAAACCTGGAAATCATTTAACAAGACTAGAAGACATTTTTTGTCATGTAATTGGTGCAATGAAAGCTATCTAACAGCCATGACTTAAGCAAACAGCCTTTCTTAGTGCGCTTGATTGCAGGAATATTTGCATTTTTAAGCATGCACAACAAAAACATTTAGTGTCTTAAAATATACACATGCTAAATTCGAAATAAATAAGCTTTTAGTTAGTGCTGGGCAAAAATTTGTCGTAACAAAAAAAAAGTTTGCTTTGACATAATTTAAGTAGGTGTACTGTCTAAATTTATTATGCATGTATTAATACACATACATGTATTTGAGAAAATTTTTATTTATGCTAGATTTAAAACATGTGTATTATACAAGTTATTTATGCGTTTAAATATCTATATAACAAGATCGTTTTGTATAATTTTGTTTCTATACAGTGCATGCGGAAAGTATTCATAGTGCTTCACTTTTTCCACAGTTTTTATGTTACAGCCTTATTCCAAAGTAGATTAAATTCATTTATTTCCTCAAAATTCTACACAAAATACCCCATGAAGACAATGTGAAAAAGATTTTTTGAAATTGTTTAAAATTTATTACAAATAAAAACCTGAAAAATCACACGTGTTCACAGCCTTTGCTCAATACTTTGTTGATGAGCCTTTGGCAGCAATTACAGCCTCAAGTCTTTTTGAATATGATGGCACAAGCTTGGCACACCTGTCTTTGGGAATTTTTGCCCATTCCTCTTTGCAGTACCTCTCAAGCTCTATCAAGTTGGATGGAAAGCGACGATGTACAGCCATTTTCAGAACTCTCCAGAGATGTTCAATATGATTAAGGTCTGGGCTCTGGCTGGGCCACTCAAGGACATTCACAGAGTTGTTGAGAAGCCAATCCACTGATATTTTGGCGGTGTGCTTTGGTTCATTGTCCTGCTGGAAGATGTACTGTCGCCCCAGTCTGAGGTCAAGAGCACTCTAAAGCAGATTTTCATTCAGGATGTCTCTGTACATTGCTGCATTCATCTTTCCCTCTATCCTGACTAGTCTTCCAGTTCCTGTTGCCAAAAAACATCACTACACCATGATGCTTCCACCACCATTCTGTAGGGATGGTATTAGCCTGGTGATGAGCAGTGACTGGTTTTCTCCAAACGTGACGCCTGGCATTCACTTCAAATTGTTTAATTGTTGTCTCATCAGAGCAGAGACTTTTGTTTCTGATGGTCTGAGAGTCCTTCAGATGCCTTTTGGCAAATTCTAGGCGGACAGTGACTTCGGTCTGGCTACTCTACCATACAGGCCTGATTGGTGGATTGCTGCACAGATGGTTGTCCTTCTTTAAGGTTCTCCTCTCTCCACAGAAGAACGCTGGAGCTCAGATAGAGTGACCATTGGGTTATTGATCACCTCCCTGACTAAGGCCCTTCTCCACCGATCAATCCGTTTAGATGATCAACCAGCTCTAGGAAGAGTCCTGGTGGTTCCAAACATCTTCCACTTATGGATGATGGAGGCCACTGTGCTCACTGGAACTTTCAGAGCAGCAGAGATTTTTCTGTAACCTTCCCCAATCCTGTCTCAGAGATCTGCAGACAATTCCCTTGTCTTTATGCTTGGTTTGTGCTTTGACATGCACTGTCAACCCTTGAACCTTATATAGACAGGTGTATACCTTTTCAAGTCATGTCCAATCAACTGAATTTACTACAGGTGAACTCCAATTAAGCTGCTGAAACATCTCAAGAATGATCAGTGGAAACAGAATGTACCTGAGCTCATTTAAGAGCTTCATGGCAAAGGCTGTCAATACTGATGTACATGTGATTTTTCAGGTTTTTTATTTTTAATAAATTTGCAACAATTTCAAAAAATCTTTGTTCACATTGTCATCATGGGGTATTGTGTGTAGAATTTTGAGGAAATAAATGAATTTAATTCATTTTGGAATGAGGCTGTAACATAAAAAATGTGGAAAAAGTGAAGCATGATGAATACTTGCCGGATGCACTATGTATTTGTGTTTCCTTTATTAATTCATTTTCTTGTCCTTTTATTAAACTGGGGTTGCCACAGCGGAATGAACCGGCAACTTATCCTGCAAGTTTTTCATGCAGCGGATGCCCTTCCAGCCGCAACCCATCTCTGGGAAACATACACACATACACACACACACACACACACACACACACACACACACACACACACACACACACACACACACACACACACACACACACACTCACTCATACACTACGGACCATTCAGCCTACCTAATTCACCTGCACCGCATGTCTTTGGACTGTGGGGAAAACCGGAGCACCCGGAGGAAACTCGCGCGAACACAGGGAGAACATGCAAACTCCACACAGAGATGGCAACTGAGCCAAGGCTTGAACCAGCGACCCATCGACCTTCTTGCTGTGAGGCGACAGCACTACCTATTGCGTCACTGCTTCGCCCATGTAATTGTGTTTATCACATATAAAAAAAGAAAAAATGATATATATATATATATATATATAAAACATACATATATTATGTCAAAACAAATTTAATTTTGGATTTTAATCATTTTTTCCCAGCACTATTTTCAATTTATTTATTTTTTTGTCATCTATTTATTTGTTTGTCAGGATTGGACAATATTTGACTAAGATATAACTATTTAAATATCTGGAATTTAAGGGTTTAATATTAAACAAAAATCAAAATACTGAAAAAATCTGCTTTAAAGTTGTCCAGATCAGGTGTTTAGCATGCATTGCTATTCCTAGAGTATGAAAATTTTAAAACATTTTCTTGGAACATCATTTTTACTTAATATTTTAATGATTTTTGGCATAAAAGAAACATAAATAATATTTAAATTATAATATAATATAATATAATATAATATAATATAATATAATATAATATAATATAATATAATATAATTGTGACCAAATTTAAAACTCATACAATATATGACAAGAGACTTGTAGTGTATTAAAGATGCAATCTTTATTAGATCTTGCTTTTCCTTGAAAATGTCAACTAAAGTGACAGCATTTTATCACATTGAAAAAAAAAAGAACAAATCCATAGTTGGTTTCTGGTTAATAAATATGTGAGATTTACCACTAGATGGCATGTTTGCATTACAACGCCTCAGAATGTACGTCTGCTCTTTTTGGTCTCATTGATTTTCTTCTCCTCATTGTGTGTTTGTGTTTCACCCAGTATTTGAATCGTGGCTGCACCCGATACTTTGCAAACAAGGACTCAGATAAACAGATCATGCAAAACAGGAAAAGTCCTGAGGTATGTAAATTCATCTGTGTTCGCAAATCATCCTTTCTGCCTGCTGATTCACATACAGTACGTGGCATAATTACATCAAGCTGAAATAAATTTCTCATTTCAAATTTACTATCAAATCCTAAAAGGATATGATGACAAGAAATCACAACAACAAATGTTTTTGATTAAACTTGAAGCTTATTTTAATAATTAGTTACACTGTAAAAAAATATGCAATAATTTACAGGTTTTGTATTTCAGTATTTACAGTTTTTTCATTTATAAAAAAAAAAATATATATATATATATATATATATATTTATAACACACCCAGCATTTTACAGCAATAAATATTTTTAGTATATTGCATATATACAGTGGTCAACATTTAAAGTAGGTCAAAAAAATTTATCAAACTTTTACTAAGACTAACTATTGTTGTTTGATAGTTTAAGAAAACCTTTGATTAATGCTTTTTTTTAAAAAGACTATTTATAGGAATGCTTTATAAATTGGCAGAGAACAGAATAACAAACAGTAAAAAAATAAAATAAATTAAATATACAAACAAACATCCCCAGCAATAATTTCCTTTTCGTGGCTTTAACAAGAGACACATAGCTAACAGTCCTAAATTCAAAATCTCAATCAAAATATGATTATAGTGATTATTTTAGTTTATATATATTTATTTATTTATTATTATTATTATTATTTATTTTTTTATATAAAAAAGTGAAAATAAATAGCCTGCACTTTTAGAATATTCATAATAAAAGTAGAAAATAAGCAGTATCTCTTCTAAATAAAATACCTCTTGTAAACCCTGTAACTAATATTTTAAACAGTGCATTTCTTGCATATTCTGTCAACAAATATTTTTATGTAAATAATAATTTGAATGTAATGGAAAATATGCCATCTCATTTCATGCCAAGGCATTTCAGCGCAGCTTCGAATCATCGTCAATTTAGTGCAAAGTAAGGCTCAAGAATGGGTCCATCATTAAAGGCTGATTTATAAATCTGCCTCAAGTAATCGGCGTGACCCATGAAGCCTTGCGTAGCCGTGCATTTATATACTTCAGTTTGCTGTTTGTGTTGCTCTATATAAATAATACTTCCGTAATGCTAGCTGGCAGTGGGTTTTTATGTTCCTCTATCTTCACGTGGGTTTAGTTTTTTGTCAACGCTACAAAACCGACCAATTACCGCAACATGCGACTGCGCGAAGGCTGCGCTGGACCATGTGCATGCTCTCAACACAGTATAATCAGCCTTAACCGAGCAGGGTCATGTGACTCCACACACGATAGGGAAAATAATCGAAAAAATCGACTTGGGAAAATTTGATCGATTATAGGTTCGGAATGTCGATTTCTATTATTTTTCGATCAATCGCCCAGCCCTAGTGCATACGCAACTCCGTTACTGTAATGAAAAAAAAAATAAATAAAATGCATAACTAAAAATGTTAATGAAAATGCAAAAAGAAATGTGAACCATTCAGTGTGGGAAAGAAGGAAGGTTCCTCTGACGACTTTTGATGATGAAAATTCAACTGTGCATTTTAACAATGTGACTATTACTAAAGTTTTAGTAGTTTGAAACAACATATTTTGCAATAAATAACATATAAAGAGTTAATTATGTACAATAACAGAACATTTATTGGCAGTTTATTACCAAAAATACCAAAACCAGACAATATATCATATCATACTATTAAAAATGTCATTAAAAGTGTTCAACATCAACTTTTCGACATCAGAACTCGTTGAAGGAATTATCAAGGTCCTATGGTGCAATTAAAAAGAATAAATAAATAAATAAATAAATAATATTATATACAATATATCAATTATATAATCAAAAAATACAGAAAAATGTTAATTTACGTATATTTTTAACTGTGTATAAAAAAGTTTATCTTAATGTTTTTTTTTTTTTAATCAGTTTGACGTAAGTTGAGATGTCCAAAAAAAGTTAAGTTGATTCAACTTAAAGATGCAAGGCAGTGAGAATTTATCATTTTTTGCAGTTCACAGATTCCTTTGTACGTGTAGTGATTTTAAGTCTAGAGGACGTGCTGAATGAACAGACCTTGACCGCAGTCAGAATCTCTGAAGTTGCAGGATCACCTCAAATAGAATTAGTTACCCCCCCGGAAATTAGTACACGTCTTTGATGAATTATGTAAAGTGTAATAAATCCCGGCGTTGTTGTGTTTGCACACTGCCCTCTCTGGAGAACCGAGCCCATCAATTGATGTTATTGTTATCAAGGGCCATTATTATAAATCATGGTTGTGTTGAGTCCCTCTGGAGGTGATGAGATATTCATTAGCTGCTGTTTTAGCTGGAGCACTAGTTCATTTACGAGCTCAACACCGTCTGTTTCGCTGCATTGTCAGATCAAGGGCTGAGATTAGTTTCTTAGCCCAAATTCGCAGATGTTACTTATTATTTTTTTTCCCTTTTCTTTTTTGTATCATCCTTGAACAGGCGAATCTTCTAATGACTCTAGGCTGGCGCTAGGATATTTATGAAGTCCATTTTTAATTTAGAATAAACTGAGGTTTGTCTTCGCTCAGGCTTTGGTTCAGAACCAATAGTGCCTAAAGAGACAAAACTGAACTGATTTTACTGACTGGTGATTCCAATAAGGGTTAGATTAGCATTAGGCTCTCTAGTAAGTATAAAAAATACATAAGAATAAAAAAAATATACACTCACCGGCCACTTTATTAGGTACACCTGTCCAACTGTTTTTAAATGTCTTATCAGCCAATCACATGGCAGCAACTCAATGCATTTAGGCATGTAGACATGGTCAATAGGATCTTCTACAATTCAAACCAAGCATCAGAATGGGGAAGAAAGGTGATTTAAGTGACTTTGATTGTGGCATAATTGTTGGTGCCAGACGGGCTGGTCTGAATATTTCAGAAACTGCTGATCTACTGGGATTTTTACACACAACACTCTCTACAGTTTACAGAGAATGGTCTGAAAAACAGAATATATCCAGTGAGTGGCAGTTCTGTGGGCGCAAATGACTTGTTGATGTCAGAGGTCAGAGGAGAATGGCCAGACTGGTTCAAGCTGATAGAAAGGCAACAGTAACTTAAATAACCACTCATTACAACCGAGGAGTGCAGAAGAGTATCTCTAAATGCACAACACATCCAACCTTAAGGTGGATGAGCTACACTAGCAGAAGACCACACCGGGCGCCACTCCTGTCAGCTAAGAACAGGAAAGTGAGGCTACAACTTGCATAGGCTCACCAAAATTGGACAATAGAAGATTGGAAACACGTTGCCTGGTCTGATGAGTATTGTTGCTGAAAATGTCCATCCATTTATGACCACAGTGTATCTTCTGATGGCTACTTCCATTAGGATAACAAATAAGCGCGAATCATCTCAGACTGGTTTCTTGAACATGACAATGAGTTTACTGTACTCAAATAGCCTCCCCAGTCACTAGAACTCAATCCAATAGAGCCTCTTTGGGATGTGATAAAATGGGAGATTTGCATAATAGATTTGCAGCAACTTTCAACATAGAGCAAAATCTCTGAGGAATATTTCCAGTGCCTTGTTAAATCTATGCCACGAAGGATTAAGGCAGTTCTGAAGGCAAAACGCTGTCCAAACACAGCGTAACCATTAGTAAGGTGTACCTAATAAAGTTGCCGATAAGTGTATAATAATGTTTTAAGCAATACTTTGGGATTGAATTAGGTTTTAGTGTTTATTTAAAATAGTTTTTGTTTATAGGTAATAGAAATAATATAGTAATTATTATTTAATAGTAATGTTTAACACATAGTAGTAATTATTATATTCAACTTATGAATGGAACTGAATTCAATACTGGCTTATTATTAAATAAATGTTCATGCTGTCTTAGAATTTAACCTTTACATCAAAAATTTATTCAGAAATGTAGATATTTTCCAACCTTCTGTTGTACAGTAAGTTGCTGATTTTTATATTTAAAGAAAATAGTAACAATAATCACATCATTTGAAATTATACAAATCTACATTGGCTGTGTTCTACGCATTATTGCTCATTTATTTTTTAATATAATGAGCAATTTGAGAACTGAGAAATGTGGCGTATTTAGATTCAATATAAAATTTCCTCCTCCTTTAATCTTACAGGTAATCCTAAATGTTTCCATGATTTTTTCCATGTCTAAATATTACATGTTTAACATTTACTTTAAGCAGTATTTGTAGATTTGAAAAGACAGAAATCTGCTTCATAAATAAAGAAATTCTCAGTTGTTGTAATTTTAATGGAATTCCAATTTGATTGGGAAATACCATGTATTAGCTATATTGTTTTTTTTTAAAGTTTAGCTTTTTTATAAAGCTTGTTTCAGGATTAAAATGTTTTCCATACATATTTTTTTTTTCCAATTGTTTAAATACTGAAACAAAATACTGAGCTGAAACAAACCAATTCTTGAGTTTTTTTGGGACAACTTAATTGTTTTATTTAAAATCCGCTTAATTAAAAATTAACTTAATAAATTTGTGGAAAGGTGTGGAACCCTGATTTTTTTTACAGTGCATAGATATTCGTTCTGTTTATATGGGTAGTTTTCTAACTGAATATTATGTGTCTTTGCCTTCCCTGATCTCTTTAAAATTCAGGACCATAAGGTGATGTTTTACCGGTTGGCCTCTTTTCTAAATGCTTTTTATGCTTTACATTCTTTGCCTTTCCGGGTTTCTGTGCATGAAATTGATCATTATTGTGTGCATGGGTCTGCAAGCTAATATTCATGAGGCTTTCTCTGTGAAATTAATATTTTTTTTGTATGGGGTGTTTGTTACTGTAGTTCTGTGCATAAACAGCTTTTAAGCTCTAGTGTTGGTCAGAGTGGTGTGATCTGCTGTGTCATCAGACTGTGACAGACCTAGGGTGTGTTCACACTTTTCACATTTAGCTTCATTTAGGCTAAATATATTATGGTTGCTCTGGTACTGCTCTGTTAAGGTTGCACGATATTGGAAAAACTAACATTGCAATAGTTTATTTTCTGCGATTAGATATATTGCGATATGGATACAATTTCACAAGATGACTTGAGTTACTATTTGGAAAGAATTCATCATTTTAGGGGAATGGATCTGCATAGAATTTACAAAAGTATACAAAAATATACAAAATAAAATAAAGCACAGATAAAAAAAAGCAAAGATAAAAATGAAATAAACAGAGATTCATGGTCCTAACTGTATTGAGTTTTAGAAAATCAGTAATCAAATGTAAATTAACACTAGTCTTCATTGTGTAAAAAAAAAAAAAAAAAAAAAAAATCTTTTTTAAAGTTCAAGCTTTAGAATTTCTTGTGCCTAAATGGTGTAAATGTTCTTGATCTTACAGGCACAGTCCTTAAAAATACATTAAAATCAAAATCTTTCACATCATTAGAACCTATTTTATTAAGTCAACTTATCAGCCACAGAACGTCAACATGACGTTAAATTGACGTTGTAGTCCAACGTTGTGGGATGTTGCATTTTGTTTGGAAATGAAAATCGGGTTGATGTCAGAACCCAACATCAGGTCAACGTCAGTGTCCAATGTCCAACCTGAAAAACAACAAAATATAAAAGTCTAATAATGTTACAGCTTGACGTTGTATAGATGTTACCACTATGGCGTCTATCAGACGTTGGATTTTGGTTGCCATACCTGACGAATGAATGTCAGTATTTGACGTCAATATGACTTTGGTTTAAGATGTTGGTTCAACATTGGATTTTGGTCACTTTCCAACACAAAATCAATCAAATTTCAACATTATTTGACGTTGTTATCCGCTTGTTAAATGTGATGTCACATGAAGTGGCTTCCAGGTCCAAGCGCTCTATTAAACTGTATGGGAAGACTCAACAAATGGTAAACGTTTACAAAGCACTGTAATACTTCAGAAAATCACAATCACAATATATACATCCATACCTATGACCAGAAAGTGAATGTTTTTTTTTTAATAAATTGTTTAAATATTGATGTCTCAGATGCAACAAGTACAGAGACTGTTGTATACATGATTTAATGTAAAATTCACTTTAATGTTTGATATGACAAAAAAAGTGTTCATGAATGAATATTTTCTCAATTCAAATGAGTAGCGGCTTGGACCCGGAAACAGTATCTCACACATCACGACTTATCGAGCAGATTGGACATCAAAATAACGTTATATTTAGATGCTGTGTAGTCATTGAATTTTGCTCACCTGATGTCAAGACCTAAAACAACCTAATATTAATGCCTTTTGGGAACTTTTATTAATCCCAAAATGACATTGTAGAGCATGTGATGTGATTATTGGAAGACTTGCACATTGCGATATCGATGCTGAAACGATAAATCGTGCAGCCTTCTTAGTTACTGCTGTTAATGTGAATAAACGTGAACGCTGCCATTTAAACATTGCTTCATACCAAACAGTCTTTTGGTCTACCCTACTGTTGTGGTATCTCTAAAAAGTATAATTCTATTTACTATTTTTGTACCTCTGTCTTCTGATAATGGAAACAGAAATAAATGCTGACTGTAATGTACTACTATTCCGAACTGTATCATTCAGTTGGAAATCAGTCATAAATTAATCCAAAACCGGACGTGATGCGACCATTAAATGCTTAAAAATACCTTGGTTTTTCTCATCATAGTCACAATTTTAATTCCATTTGAGTTAGATGTAGTGGAAGTTTTTCCAGCGAATTTTGGTGGTGTCCAACAGAGTAATTGTTGCTGCTTCTTTCATCTCATTTTATCTTTCATTTTAAGCACTTCATGAGTTCTCTAATTAGGAAAAAAATAATATGTTAGTGCACGAGAGCACTGCAAACTATGCATAATTAAAGAGTTTTTTATGTTATGTTTGGTCTTTAAAATGGCGAGAAATAACAGGTAAATATGTATTTTTTAATAACTAAAGAACTAAGTAAAGCAGACTTCAAGTGTGAACACACCCTTAAAACTAAAATTTAGCTATAGAAACATTTTTTTAATCTTGTAACCTTTTACTGTAAACACAAACAGAAGCAGATTGAAAAATGTTTTATTTAACTTTAAGCAAAAATAAAAAAATAATGTTTTGTTTTTTGTTGCTGTTTGTGTTACTCAAAGAAAAAAGTAATGAGACAAATGATCGTTTAATTGAATAGAATTTATAAACAGAAGCTCTGGTGCACTCTTGACCCTCAGGTGTGGTTTGTTTTCTTTTCCTCCTTCCTCTAATCAGAGATCGGACTCCGTATACACCTTTCCAGTATAGGTTTCTGATCTCTGATTACAGCTGCAGTGCTTGTGTGACGTGTGAATACGGTTGATTGTGGAAATACCGTGTGTCTTGATTGTCCGTTGTGTCTTTAGCATGGGAAAGTAGGTGCGTTGAAGGACCCTCTGCTAGATGACTTGGGAGACTTCAACAGGATGGTGGTGGCCATGAAGAAGATCGGCTTGGATGACACCGAGAAGCTCAATCTCTTCAGAGTGGTGGCCGGCGTTCTTCATCTCGGCAATATCGACTTTGAAGAGACAGGAAGCACCTCTGGTAACCCTTGAAATAATTTATGTGTAAAAAATGCACTTTTTATTTTAGTTTTTTAGATGTTAGTATTAGTATGCTAGTTTTAAGAATATCTAGTGTGCTCCAAAACAGACAACGTTCACATTTAGAAGATATAAGTTCAAGTTATATTTATTTATATAGCACTGCCACAGGGCTGCACAAAGTGCTTTACAGAGAGAAAATAAACACACGATATGAGCATAAAACAGTAAAAACAGCAATAAGCAAATAATAGTAAGGAACATAGAAAAATTATCAATAAAAGAGCAAAAATTAAAATAAAAAATAGTAATAATAATAATAAAATATTTTTCCTAATTAAAAGATGCTACCACAGTTGACCAACACTAAACACGATAGAGAACATGACCGTTTTGATCCCCCTCCCCACTCCCAACACCCCCCACCCCCCTTCTGAATTTGAAGGACTTATACTTAAAAAGACCTTGAAAATAAATGCGTCTTTAATTTGGACTTAAAAATAGGCAGCGACGAAGCCTTTTTTAGCTCTATGGGCAGAGAGTTCCAGAGGCGAGGAAGTGTAATATAAACATCCAGAGCTTGCAGTTTGTCACTTCTTCTAATAGATCAACTAATTTATGAAGTATGTCACCTCATACTTCAGTTTCTCATCAACTCTTGACCAATCAAATAATCTGTAGTATCTGACATGCCCTGCCCCCTTCAAATAGCTTCTCGGCTGTTTCTCAATACCAAGTATGCAAAGTTCAGACTTGTGTCTTTGGAAGTTCAGACTTGCTAAGTTCAGACTTAAAAGAACAGACTACTGAGGACACAAGGACACTACTCGGGTACTTCTTCAAATGGAACGGCAGTGTACTTTGTAACAACACTTACCTCACCATGGATTCACCGTTTTCACTATACATTTAAAATAAAATGATTTAATTAAATAAAACACAGCCTTATTATTAGTTTTATATTAATATTAAATATATATAATAAATATAAATCTATATTTTTGATTTAAGAAAATGTAAACAAATCAATATAAATGTGAAGTGAAATGGGTTATTATACACAGACTCGTGTCTTGTATTAGCTGATTTAATAAACTACAAGGGACATTATACAAGTATAAAGTACAAGACGTACACAAAAACAAAAAAAAAGATAATGTTTAGGAATTTGTTAATCAAAGACAAACCTTGTATAACATGGTAACATAATTAAAGACAGGCGAGGCAGTGGCGCAGTAGGTAGTGCTGTCACCTCACAGCAAGAAGGTCGCTGGGTCGCTGGTTCGAACCTCGGCTCAGTTGGTGTTTCTGTGAGGAGTTTGCATGTTCTCCCTGCCTTCACGTGGGTTTTCTCCGGGAGCTCCGGTTTCCCCCACTGTCAAAAGACATGCGGTGTAGGTAAATTGGGTAGGCTAAATTGTCCGTAGTGTAAGAGTGTGTGTGTGAATGTTTACCAGAGATAGGGTGCCGCTGGAAGGGCATCCGCTGCGTCAAAAACATGCTGTATAAGTTGGCGGTTCATTCCGCTGTGGCAACTCCGAATTAATAAAGGGACTAAGCCGACAAGAAAATAAATGAATAAATAATTAAAGACAATTATAAAAGTTATCAAAATAATACTGACAAAATAATACACCTGATAACAAATAATAGATTTATAAGACCAAAAACTGTCGGTTAGATATGCACAAAATGTATTAAATATCATGTATTAACTGCAATGGACAGATGCAATCCAGCGGTACATTCATGATGGACTGGCCCATGTAAAGCTGCTCTCGGCGGGGGAGATGATGACGAAGCTCCCGCTGACAGGCTGGGGGTCCGCATAGGCTGAGGCATATTACTAAAAACGCTTTATAATCTATAAAAAAAACTGCCGATTCGAGTTTAAAACAACTACATTCTTGCCTGAAAAAACTCTTTAAGCTTTAATTTGTGACACAACAGAGAAGTATTTTTAAAACCGTGTGGGTTTTCTCCTCCACCATTAGCTTTCGCTGGTTACGCTGCAATGCATTCTGGGATACCTGTGCTTTGTAAGTTCGCACAAGTCACCTCTTGAAGCATCCTTGGTGAAAGAGGCGGAGCAAGTACACATCTGGGAATTTTATCTGCACTTGGCAAGAGGTTAACCTTGAATTGGAACAGTACTTGATGACGTTACACGAGGACGCAAGAACGCAAGTACAGACAAGAACGCATATTGAGAAATAGCTCTTGTTGGCTTTCCATTTGATGCGCTTGAGCTCAACTACTCTCACTGGCAGAGCTGCAATTAAAAACAAAATGCTATTGGCTGTTTTTTTTATAAAGGGGAGGAGCTACTATGTGCCCCGCCCCTCTTCATGTTTCAGTTGAGATTACATCAAACATAGAATTAAAAAAAATGCATATTTGAAAACACTTCACATGACCTTTAATGTGTGATAAAACTCTATTTTTCATAACTGGTGAGGCTGCACCACAGTTTTGAAAATGCTGCAAAAGTGAACGTGGCAAAGTTTTATTTCACACTTTATGCTTATTTTCAGGACCTCTAAGATTAATGTGCGTGCTACAATTCATCATTGCACTTGTAAATGAACATACAGCTACGCAGAACATCATTAAATAAAAAAAGAAATAAATCAAGATTCTCATAGAAATCAGTCAAGTTTGGTGAAGGAAAAATCATGGTTTGGGGATACATTCAGTATGGGGGCGTGCGAGATATCTGCAAAGTGGATGTCATCATCATCAGTCTGAGGTATCAAGACATTTGTGCTGCCCATTATATTACAAACCACAGGTGCATGATTCAGCATGATAGCGCTGCTTCTTGTACTTCGCCTCCACATCAAATCTACTAAAAGCAAAGAGGGTCAAGGTGATCCAGGATTGGCCAGCTCAGTCACCAGACATAACCATCAGTGAGCATGTCTGGGGTAAGATGGATGGGGCATTGAAGATGAATCCAAAGAATCTTGATGAACTCTGCAAAAACGCTTTCTTTGCCATTCCATATGACTTTATTGATAAGTTATTTGAGTCCTTTCAAAGATGTATGGATGCAATCCTCCAAGCTCATGGGAGTCATAAACAATATTAATTATTTCCCCACTACACCATGACTTTATATTCTATACTGTTCATTTTTTGTGTTCAGTAACAGACAAGACTTTTGTCTAAGTAAGACAGACCTTACTTTTTCGTAATTAAATAATATAAAAATCAAGGCATAATCATATTTTATTTTGGTAAAATAAGTGTAATCTAGAGGCCTTTGCCTTTCGTATAAGCCACTTCTGATAGCAAACGATACCTAACACGTTGATAGGTGTCAAGACTTTTGTCAGGTAATGTATTTCACAAATCAATGCACAACTGTGTACTTTTGTACTTATATACATCTGGACATTCAATTAATAAGTTTTAAAACATTTTTCTCCATTTATGCATGATAATTGGTTATATCAAGGAGCTGTAGCTAATTCTGTTTCAGACTATTATGTGAACAAGGTTTTATGCCACCCAGAAACTTTTACAAAACAAAAACAAAAAGTCAACTGTGATCCATGAAGGTGTCTTTCAATTTATGCAGTCGTACAGGTTAAAGCGTCTGTCATAGGAAATCAATGCCTGCTGTCATGAACAATTAAGCAAGGCATCTTCTCAGGATAAGGACCTAGAACATTATAAGTAGTCATCTAACATTGACATGCCAATGAATTACTATAGTAATTTGCCACATCTTGACGCCGTTAAATCAATAAACTGATTTTAAACCCAGAAAATGGTGCCACACTGCATGAAATAGCCAGTTTTCTTTTATAGCTAAACAGAAACGGTTAAAATCTCAGAAAATGTACTTCACAGTTTCATGGTACTTTAAACGTTATCCAACTACTTTCAACATCTGCAAACAATTTAGCTTTGATTTGATGTCCATACCCAGCATGATGTGCCAACTTTCAAGCCTGAAGTAATTTTGTGTTCTGCATAAAGTGATAAAATCGGATCCGATCAGAACATATTTGAAGTTTAATATGCAAACCAGTGGGGATTTCACTCCTGTCGAGCAACTAGAAGCCAAACAGAGCATAAAAAATACTGATAATAAAAATAAAAATATATATAAATTCTAGTGTGTCAGTTGCAATCACGCCGACCAGGACAAAAACGAAAAGATTTATCGCTTGTTGCTTCATCATGTCACGCTTGCTTTAGAAGCACTCGAGAGACTTCCATTTTGCTTTGTTACTCTGTGTTCAGTAAGGGAAGGAGATTTTCACTGATGTCTGAAGTGTTTTTTATTATTCTTATTTTTGAGCTCATGCACATGTGCTGATGTTCTCCTCATTAAACCACCTCAAATTCGAGCCTCCTCCAACTCAGAAGACCTCATTAGAGAGCTGCTGTGGGGGAAAGGGGGCTCTTTCTAGTGTTGCCAGACACGCATCCAGATTTGTTTTCCTCTTCTGATGAAGGCATAACACCTTTTTCAAGCTCTGGCCTGCTCTATTTCTTTGCTCACAATGGAGCTGCTATCCTGAGACACCTTTCAGCTGGAAAACCTGCAGCCTAATGTTATCGAGGTCTTACATGAGACCTGGAGACTATTACGGATGAGAACATATCTTTGAAAAAGCCCCGAGACATGCTTGGAGATTGAAGGAGTGTGATGGAGTGCTTTTATAGGTTTATTTTTAGCTTTTACAGTACTGATGAGACAAAGGCCATGAGGGTTTTATCTTCTTCGAATTTTAATTTTCTAAGTGGTTTATTGTTTTAATGTATAAAACTAGACTCTTTTTTAAAATTATTTATATTATATTTATTATATTTTTATTGTTGTTTATAATGATGTATAACACTGAAAAAAATAAAACCCCTAGTGAAAAAAATACATTAAAAGAAAGCAATTGCAGTAAAGAAAAGGAAGCTTTTTAAAGGTGTTTGCTTAACTTTGCTGTGAAAAAAAAAAACCCCTAACAGTTTATTTGGAGAAAAGCTGAGGTTTTTAAACAAATTTATGATGAGGATGATAAAAACAATACTGAACAAAAACAGACAAGTCTCTTAAATTATTGGAACGTTTGACATTCAGGAAGTTAAGATTGTAAAGTATTGTCTGGTAGAAGAGTGAAAACAATATTTATATAAGGAAAAATACCTTTTTAAGTAGTTTACACAATCTCCTATTATGGAATGAGAGAAATAGTTCATGTATCAGTAAACAGTGAATTTGTTTCATTTAAAATTTTTACATACAAAAAAAAAAACATAATGCTAAAAAATTACACAAAACAGCAAATGTCATGCATCAGGTAATTAACAGATGATTTGATCATTTAGGACGACAAAGTTTAGGTGGTAAAATGTCATGGAGCAAAATAAAAATACTTTTAATCTTTCAGAAAGAGACCCTCAGAAGTAGAAAACAGAACAACCAAAGACAATCAAAATAAAACAAGAAAAACCTGTTCTTGCTGAAATTAAACAGATAAGACTTTCAAACAAAACAAAACAATTCCGTAGAGAATCGAAAAAAAAAATTGATTATGGGGGCTATTAAAAATAATATTGACGTTAAAATGGTTGTAAAAAATTGAAAACTGATTTTATTCTAGCCAAAATAACAAATAAGCCTTTCAAAAAACAAAAAAAAAGCAATAACAAAACAGTAAACAGTGAATTTTAAACATTTATATACATAAAAACAATGGTAAAAAAATACAACACAAAACAGCAGATGTCATGCATCAGGTAAATGACAGATCATTTGATCATTTAGGACTTCAAAGTTTAGGTGGTAAAATATCATGGAACAAAACAAAAGTATTTTTAATTTTTCAGTGAGAGACACTCAAAAGTAGAAAAGAGAACAACCAAAGACAAACAAAATAAGAAAACAAAACAGCTGAAATAAAAGAAATAAGACTTTCAAACAAAACAAAACAAAACAGTAGAGAATCCAAAAAAATTTGATTAAGGGTTCTAATAATAATATTGACCTTAAAATAGTTATAAAAAACTTCAACTGCTTTTATTCTAGCCAAAATAAATCAAATAAGACTTTCAAATGAAACAAAACAAAACAAGACAAAATAAAACGGTAGAAAATCGAAGAAAAATATTGAATGAGGGGGCTAATAATAATATTGACCTTAAAATGGTTGTAAAAATTTTAACAAATTTCAAACAAAACAAAACAAAACAATAGACACTTACAACCAGTTTTTCTTTTTATGTAAATTAAACTATGATATTATCAGACACAATATTGTTTGTTCAGGTTAATTTGTCATATTGTCTCAAAACTAAAATATAAAGCGAGAGATATTTCCTATCCTTGTAAAATTTAATTTAAAACAAGTGAAATAGTTCTCAGTCAATGAGGATTGTAAATGCTAAATATATTGGCATAAAGTAACATTTGAAACTTTTTAAAAATGGTAACAACTATAAAAATAATTCAGACTATAATAACGGCAACAATAAAAACGATGACACTAGAAGCTTTTTTAAAGGCATTTTTTAAGGTCTACATTTAGTGTATTTATGACTTAAATTACAGAAAACATTTATTAACAGCTACAAAAGCATCAGCACATTGAGACATTTACAACCCCCTGCTGTCTAGACGTCACATTAGAAACATGATGAGCCAGAGTTTAAAGATGAGCATTATAATTTAGCGTCTGCTCTCAGGTGGCTGCATTTTGAAGAACCAGTCAAGTCAGACTCTGGAGTATTGCGCTGATCTCCTGGGCCTCGACCAGGACGACCTGAGAGTGAGCCTCACCACCAGGGTCATGCTCACCACTGCAGGGGGCGCTAAAGGCACTGTCATCAAGTAAGTGACCACATATGTTTTTAAATTCTTTTTTTATTGATGCTTCAATTACAAACATTCGAACCTATACAGGACATTGACAGTAATGGTAACAATAATGATTATGTATTTTATTAGGTATTTTATAGTTTATGTTAGTTATGCATAGGCTTTTCAAAAATAGTTATTAAAATAAGCATGTCCAGTGCTGTGTTTGTATTTATGATTAATTTATGTAGCACCGTTGTCCTGCGAGATATGTTACGTCCCTGTAGATGTTAATATTACACTGAGAGTATTTGAAACTATAATGGTTTAGTGTGTGTGTGACAAATGGATGGAGAAAAAAACAACTCAACACCAAATATAACCGCAACTAATTATTTATTGCCCATACGTCCAGTGAAACCAGTGAAAATATATTGTACAGTGAAATAAAAATATTTACAATAAATAAATTATAAATTACCTGTTGGAAAGGAGGTAGTTGGAGGTGTGTAAATAAAAATAAATAAATAGAAACAACATGAAAAGAAACATCTTCAATGTATCAAACGTCTTAACTGCTCTAACTAAAAAACAAACTAAAAATACAAAAACAAAATACTACACACCTACATACAAACTAACGCACACACATATACCCAAAGTACGTTCTGCAAACGAATGAAACAATGACGAATGACAAGAAAGCTCGACTTGACTTGAACTTAATAGGGCAAGTTATAATATAAGTACCTACAGTTAAAGATAGAATTTGTAGCCCTTCTGTATATCTTTTTACCCCCAATTTCTGTTTAAAGGAGAGAAGATTTTTTTCAACACATTTCTAAACATAAATAGTTTTAACAACTCAATTCTGATTTATTTTATCTTTGCCATGATGACAGTAAATAACATTTGACTAGATATTTTTTAAGACACTTGTATACAGCTTAAAGTGACATTGACATAAGCCATTGAAAGACTTAACTAGGTTAATTAGCTAAGTTAGAGTGATTAGACAAATCCAACAAATATAGCTTAAAGAGGTTAATAATATTGACCTTAAAATGTTTTTTTTTTTAATGTAAAACTGCTTTTATTCTAGCCAAAATAAAACAAAAAAGACTTTCTCCATAAGAAAAAATATTGTGGGAATTACTGTGAAAAATTCCTTGCTCTGTTAAACATTATTTGGGAAATTTTTGATTTAAAATTACAGGATGGCAAATTATTTTGGCCTCAGCTGTATAAAACAGTAAAAAAGGAAGAAAAAAATAAGAATAAAATAAGAAAAAAATAATACAAATACAGCAATTACAGAGGAAAGACTTATTATGCATCAGTGGTATTTCAAAACAATATCGTAATATTCCAAAAATCTGTCACTTTTCTTGTTTTTAACTGATCTAAGACAATAAATATGTTTTATATGTTTTTTTTAATATTAAAAATGTAAAAAAGACGGCTGCGAATTTTGGTTTGTAAGTGAAATCTTTCCTATACAAAATAAAGAAATTAATAATGGAGTTCTCTGGTATATTAGTTTTGTAACATTTTTTTACTTTAAAGGTTCAAGAAACCCTTGAGTACTTTTTTTGAGATTTCAACAGATTTGTGTGTGTGTGTTGAGCATCATTTAAGACAACGTTAGCACTTGTTAGCTTTAAATGTGGGGAAAATGGGATAATTTTGCCTTTGTCAGCTAATTTCATCTTCCGGGTTTAAGATCATTATTGCGGTGGGATAAAATTCGATGACGTAGGGCTGTCTGCCTGTCTAGTGATGTGTTGGTTTCTCATTATTATTCATAGACTGAGTTTTCTTATCCTATGAGAAGAACCTGCTTCTCAATTATTCATGGCAGCAGGTGCTTTCCAATGAGAGACCCATATAGACAGACCTGCCAAGCTTTGAGACTGAGAATTTAGGTGGTTGTGAAGGGCTGTAGGTGTTTGTTTCCATGATCCACAGGGTTTGTTGCATGGCTTTCCCCTAAATGCTTTCTGGGCTGATGCAGCTGAGCTGTTTGTGCTCAGCAAGCATTTTTGTTAGGAGAGCTATACAAGAATTGGAGAATGGCGGACTTTGTCTTTTATCAGTTAAATTCGTTACCATTCAGACATGTCGACTATATTTGTGCTGCTGTGTTCGCCTATGTTTAAAATCTTACAGAATATTGGAATAGATAGGGAAAGAGACAAACGGTCCTGCTATCCACTGTGACTGTCTGTATTCAGACCCGATGATTCGGCAGTCCTCCTCATTTATAGTGTTTTCATGATTATCTTTGCTATGATATAACAAATTGTGGTTATATTATTTGAAATTACGAATAGCCTATTGTATATGTAACACGGCATTAAATTACTTTTGAAATAAACTACTAGTTTAGTATTTTAATAGAAATAAACTACTGTTTATTTCTTTGCATTTTAACTTTGTAAACTATAAAATCATGCGTCTCCTCACGGTTTGTGTCTCATTTTGTGAGGCAACTGACAACAGTTCACTCCCCTCTTTCTTTATGCCACGCCCACTCCTTCCTCGGCTCGCAGTGCTCCACACCCATCATGTAGCATTTTTTTTAACTTCTGAGGTACACTTGAACTAAAAGAGGGGGGTTTCATGACCCTTTGACATCTGCTCATGCAGAGACCCAAGAAGGAGGGGTGCCCGATTTCTTTTATTTCTCTTTTTTGCATTCAAATGATGATCAAAAGAGTCACCACAGACCCCCTGCTTGATATTTTTCCACACAACTCAATCTCCCAGTGATCTGAAACGTCTTCTAGCATTACATTTCGTCATTTGGCCCCCCATTCACATTCGCATAACTGTTAAATGAATCCTCCGGTTGCTCGCTCGCAGACGACAGGAGAGCCGAAAATAGCTAATCGCAGGTTTTTCCATTAGAGATATGGTCAGTATAATCGAATGTGGCACAGGCTAAATTGGCCGAGGGGCCGCAATAGTCTAGTTGCCATTGAAAGTCTTCTGTGTTTAAACGGATGTGTTATTTTTTCTATTGCTAATATAAGAGAGAAGACCTTGCTTAACTTTGGTTTTTGCTTTTTCCACAAGTCTCTGGTGCTTCTTTTCTGGAAGACTCAGGTTTGTAATTTTAAGAAGCAAAAGCTTTGTTCTTCTCAGCTTTCGATATGTAAAACCTACAGTCCAATTATGGCACACGCCAATTGTCAGAGGACAGAGGAATTGGAAAAACTCAATTGCTTTGATTGAATCGTGCCCCATTCCTCGTCGGCCAGGTGGAGTTTTATATTTTTCACCATTTGAATGATAGGGCAGCGCTCGGTGAATTAATAATAAAGGCATGATTTTTTTTATTGTATTAATTTGATTCTTCTTAGAGCAACATCATTTTAATAATAAGTAGAAAATGAAATCGAAAATAGCCGGGTGATGAAATGGGTAAATGTTATTATAATGAGAAACAAAAACTCTGAAAACTCTTGAAAGAAAATGTGGTCAAATTTACGAGTGGACAGCAGTGAAATGATTTTAAAAGATCATTTCACAAAAACAAAACAGATGTTTTCATGGAAGATCCTCATAACTGTCAAAGTAAGTGTCGGGACATGGCAAAAGCTGTTGAGGTTATAAAATGCTAAATAACTAGGAAAAACCTGTGGGGCAAAAATGCATTTCAAAACATTACCTATTACTTTTTAACCATTACTTTTCACCATATATATATATATATATATGTATATATATATATATATATATATATATATATATATATATATATATATATATATATATATATATATATATATATATATAAATTCTCCAATCACTTATTAGGTAAACCTTACTGGTACTGGGGTGGATCCCTTTTGCCTTTTGCAGAACTGCCTTAAAACTATGTGGTACAGATTTAACAAGGTACTGGAAATATTCCTCAGAGATTTTGATCCATTTTGACATGATAGCATCATGTTGCTGCAGATTTGTCGGCTGCACATCCATGATATGAATCTCCTGTTCCACCACATCCCAGAGGTGCTCTATTGGATTGAGATCAGGTAAATGTGGTGGCCATTTGAGTACAGTGAACTCTTTGTCATGTTCAACAAACCAGTCTGAGATGATTCAAGCTTTATAACATGGGACACTATTCTGCTGGAAGTAGCCATCAGAATATTAGTACACTGTGGTCATAAAGGGATAGACATGGTCAGCAACAATACTCAGGTATGGCTGTAACATTGACACCATTACACCACCACCACCAGCCTGAACTGTTGGTACAAGGCAGGATCGATCCATGCTTTCATGTGGTTGTTGACACCAAATTCTGACTTTAACATCCGTATGTCGCAGCAGAAATCGAGACTCATCAGACCAGGCAACATTTTTCCAATCTTCTATTGTCCAATTTTGGTGAGCCTGTGTGAATTGTAGCCTCAGTTTCCTGTTCTCAGCTGACAGGAGTGGGACCCAGTGTTGTCTTCTGCTTTAGCCCATCCGCCTAAAGGTTCGACGTGTTGTGCATTCAGTGATGCTCTTCTGCATACCTCAGTTGTAACGAGTAGTTATTTGAGTTACTGTTGCCTTTCTATCAGCTTAAACCAGTTTGTCCATTCTACTCTGACCTCTAGTATCCACAAGGCATTTGCGCCTACAGAACTGCCGCTGACTAGATATTTTCTCTTTTTCAGATCATTCTCTATAAACTCTTGAGATGGTTGTGCGTGAAAATCCCAGTAGATCAGCAGTTTCTAAAATACTCAGACCAGCCTGTTTGGCACCAACAACTATGCCACGTTCAAAGTCACTTAAATCACCTTTCTTCCCCATGCTGATGCTCAGTTTAAACTGCAGCAGATCGTCTTGACCATGTCTACATGCCTAAATGTTGCTGCCATGTGATTTGCTGTTTAGAAGTTTGCGTTAATAAGCAGTTAGACAGGTGTACCTAATAAAGTGTGTACAGTATATTCAGCAGATTTTTTTATTCTTATGTTTTTTTATACTTCGAGTCTAATGCTAATTTAACTCTTACTAGAATCACC